ATCATCATCATCATCATCATCATCATCATCATCATCATCATCATCATCCTCGTTCTTGATTGTCAGGTTCAAAGGATCCTTTGCGATGTGTTCTTTGGCCGTTTCCTTTTTGTCGTTGGCCCAGAATGCGGTCTGTCTGTCAAACCTCGGTGCGGATGGATCGGTCGAGCTCGCCGCGGCAAAGGAGTGAAACTGTACTGACTATAGGACTTCAGAGTAACCGCCGTCTCCGCAAACAAAAAAGGAACGAAACAATGGCCAGCACCGCTCAAAAGATGGTGGTCAGATGGTAAACCATTTGGCAAGGGGGTCTATCCTTTGAGTGGTTCTGGGCAGTCGATGTGATTGACTTGGAGCAAGGTGTTAGCAATTTGGGCCCCTAATAGAGTGCAAGGCAATGACGGAAACAACTCTCATCTGTTATAACATGTTTATTGCCAAACAACTCTGAAGCCAATGACTCCGCTTTGGAAGCTGGACAGGGCTGGACATGAAGATTTCAGAAGTCATCGTCGCGGATGGTGATGTTTTGTGTCGAGCTCATCTGCGACACCGAAATGGTTGACCTTAGATGAACAGCCCGCTCAACCTCTCTATGATGGGATGACGGGGAGGTCTATAAATAGTTGATATAATAATTGTTGTTTTGGACTTTGGATCGCAGAACCGGGCAGAATGTGGCAGATGTGGATTGAACTTCCGCTATCCACAAAACACACTTCTACTCATACACCTTATGTTTCAGGTGGAACTTGGTGCAACATGGCACAACTGCTCCACTTGGCGGTTCATCCACCACACCCACTTGCCTCCTCACCTCGGAAAAGAACCACGCTATATATCTATCCCACGCCTTCCAAGAGGCGCTTTCGCGGCCGCTGCCTCCTTGGCGGCCTGCTGCGCCTGCTCTTTGGTCTTCTGCACTTCGGCCTCCAAGGCCTCCCCCAGCAGAGTGAGAGGTGGGGAGACTCGAACAGGTGATACACTGAGACTCGAGGAGGTGAGGCAAGTCTTGCATCAGCATCTCGAACAAGGCTAACAGCTCAACCCCCAACAGCCAATGGAAGGACACGAACACATGAAACAGACCTTCGGATCCATCTTTGCCATCATCTCCTTGGACCAACGACACGTGTCTCTTCACATGGCTACATGATGGCTACATCTTATTAACAGCGGTGTTACTGTTAGAGTTGTTGAGAGCAACGCGTTGGTTTTGATGTAATTTGATGGATCTATGGAGATGACCCCTTAACACATGCAAGTTGAAAGGACATAACTTTACATGACATGTGAGCATTTTGTCAACTTCATGTATTACATGTGTTTTACATTATTTTACAATACTGTATGCATGCATTGACACGTGTCCATACACGTTCGTGAGGAACTCCTTGTATACTCCCATGAGCACATCTCTGCTGCCTAGAGCTCCAATCTTAAAGCTGTAACATGACCGAGCCACTAAAAAGCTTCCATCACTCCCAAACCTTGGCTTGTGGTCAAGCAAGTCAGTAGGTCATATGTCCCATGTCTTTCAGCATGTGCATGTGATCAACATAAATCCCGTCACGTCCTCAATCCACCAAGGTGGAGGAGGGCGCTTGCTTCACCGTCATTATTGCACTGTCTGAGTGATAGAACGACGTGCTACTGGTCCAATATCAGCGAGCAAAACAGCTTGGCAAAGCTATAGGCCAGGAGCTGGTTGATTCCATCAGCTTCCTTTTTCATTTGCAGATTCTTGACTTTGGCATCTCTTCTCTTTTGCCGCTTGGCACCTTGGATGAGCACTCTCTCTCTCTCTCTGTGTCTACGGCTGGTCTATCACTCGGCCGTCAAAGAGGAAACATACACTTGACATGATTTGACAATGGCTGTGCATACTACTCGACACTCACGTCGTTTAGTGGTGGACTGCCCATGTGCCCAGAACTTCCAAGTGCCCATGTTTGTTCTTGGAAGTGGGACGTACCTCAAGCTCCAGGGTCAAAACCACTTGGCGTCGAGACGCGGAGTTCCAGAGATGGGAAACGACCTTCTGGGGGCCTTCTACCAAAGCTTCCCAACCGGATTGAGTACAACAAGTGGTGTTTCACTAATTAACTAATCTGCCAGTGGGACTGCCAGTGGGTCGCAATCAGCACCTAATATGGATTTAGAATTACCAGCAGGTTTCAAGCCTCTTTACTTGCAGGTGTGTGTGTGTGGGTTTGTGTGTGTTTGTGCCACGCCCTGAAGGAAGCACCTACTTGCCGTCCAGTAAGTGGACCAGAGTTCCAAGGGGTAACGTCCTGACTCACCACACATGGCTTCTCCACAGTTTTTGGGTTTCATGCTCTGCACTAAGGTTTTGAATGCGCCGAATCGACCCGAACGGACCGGAGCCCTTCGCGCGCATCCGCTCGGCCGCCCGGTCCGTGGGTCGTCCCAGTGACGCTTCTTGTCGGTGGTCGCTTCGTCGGCGAGGATTTGGGCTTCGCGCTTCGCTTGGAAGCTCGCTGCCTCTCCCGGCCCGCGGTCCGGCGCAAAGGAGTTCAGTGAACGAAAGGGAGGGTCCGGCGCGGAGGAGCTGTTTCCACAGCGCCTTGAACGATTGAACGATGAAGATTTTTCGGATGTGGGGAATGGATCTTCGACCCTTTGGCTGGAACCAGTGAGAAGTGGTACTGGCTGGGGTGTGCCAAAGGTGCCAAGAATGCCTGGGCGTTCCCAAAAAGGGACACCCTCGGCTCACGGCTCAGCTCTTGGACCTCTCTCCCCGCCTCCTCAAGCGCCGCGTGATCTTTGTCCATCCTTACAGCTCTTTGCAGGGTCGAAACCGCGGTTTCGGACTAAAAGAAACCCAGCGGGAACAAAGAGCTGCTTGCTGTTTCTAGACCAACCACGCGCCCGGCCACCACATGCCACATCGATCCACCCGTCTCGCCCAGTGGCTTTTCCAGTCTCGCCTCGGTCAAACGGCAGAACCCGGTCTGTTTGGCCAGATTTTCCCGGGACAGCCACTGTGCAGGCATTTCACCGAACAAAACATGCCCTCTACTTAGCTTTTCCTGGAAACGTTGGGTATTTCCTGGTCCCGCTCTGTCCGAAAAGCGGAAAGCCGGAGACCGGAACTCGGTGGAATCTGCCTTGCCGCTCTGCACCAATTCGAATCTGCATTGCCTGAATGTGTTACGTTTTTTACTTTCATGACTTTCATGGAACTATTGGGCCCTTTCCAGGTTTTGTGAACACATCCTCCTCATCTTCCACCCCACTACCAGCGCCGTGTTTGTCGTCCACCACACCTTGCATTTCACAAGTTAGTACCTCCAAAGCGCCCTTCTTTCTCTCACAAGGCAAGCAAGTGGCAATCTCTAGCCCCAATATAACGTTGTACAGGTACAAAGGACCAAACTGTCCCGAAGAGATTGTATGCAGCATTCACCCTCAATGAGCCCTATAACTTCGTTAAAAAGCAACACTACAAACAAAAAACCATTAAAAACCACTCAACAACGACCAAAACAATGAACTCCAGACTCTTTCAATTTGCCATAGGTTTGATCCAAAATGTATTGAAGTTGTTTTTAAGGTCTGTGTTTTCAGATACGTTTCTTTAAATATAAGTGTTTTTTTTTGGGGGGGGGTGTTCTGACAACCCCCTTGTTTGGTGATAATCATTCAGTATTGCAAATGCGCAACCCTGCAAAGGGGATGCATGTTTCAATAAAAAACAACTAGACATGCACGTTCAAACATCAAATGAAGTTGAAACCAATCAAGTCGATGCACATTCTGGCATATAATTTGTCGATCATTCGTGGAACTATTTCATGAAGACTAACATGTTTCCCCTCAAAACTGCAGCCGAACAACATCTTCAAAGCCGCGCAACAGTCACAGGATCAAGCCCCGCACCAACTGGGTGTGTGCCTAGTCGCCAGCTCAATCCTCCGGTGTTTGTAGTAGATGGGGATGGAGCAACTCCCCGAACCAGCGCTGCTGCCGTAGGTGTTCCACACTTTCTCAAACTCTGGGCGGGTGCTGGCCACAGTCATCCTAAGCCGGCGGACGTGTGGCGCGAGTGGGGGCGATTCTCCTGACCAACAGAGGGGTTCAGGAAAGGTTTTGGTCGCCGCGTCACCTTATGCCAGTGGATGGTGGCGAATGCAAGTCCATCGGGTCCCCTCTTAGCCCCGATGTCCTCTTCCCGGCGCAATCAAGACGTTTCTCTGCGTCGCGTTTGGTCGAAACCGCAAATTCCAACAGGAGACGTCGGCAGCATCTGCCCACCACAGAAGACGCGGGGGATAGGTTTCCCCTATCTGAGGGCTTGCTTTGGCAACTTAGAGATGTTTAAAGTCAACAAGTAAACAAAGACGCAGAGCGGCAGCGGGGAAAATGATACCAAGCACACAGGCACACACCAGCGTGTTTGACCAATAGGTAGTCTGCGATCTCCAACACAAATGACATGGAAAGTCTGGGGTATAGCGCTGAGACTAACGCGTCTGCAAACAGTGTCCTGCGTAAGGTACTCAGTTGCAATTGGATGGAACAAAATCAGTTATATATTAGAATTTATAGATCAGATTTGAGCTGGAGCCCTGTTGACAATTTAGATTTGAGGAAGTTTGCTAGAGGGGTAGGTTTGCAGGGAATAAGATCATATGCATTTTAAAAGGAAATGGCAAAGTATCAACAAGAACCAAGAAGACAAGGTCGCACTAGAATGGAGAATCTTGAGTTTAAGAAATGAGAATGAGCTATAAACGTGATTTTAGCGGGGAATTGAATGGAATCAACACACTAACTAAAGTGGAACAGGTTGAGCAAATGAGGACAGTTGAGGATGATTTATACAAGCTGGAATCAATGAAGAACGAATAAATGAGGTCGATATAAAGTGGAAAGGTGTAGTTTAACTTGAAAACAACAGGCAGGATTTCAAGAGGAATTGCTGTTGAACAAGAACGAATTGGCGGAACAGCACGTACAGTGTAGGGTTCCAAACGCATTCACAAACAAGCTTAGGAATTGAACTGCATAGTTTGGAAGACAAGGATGCAATTCTATTGGGAAGAGTTGGCGGGGTAAAGGAAAGGGACCACTGGACCCGACGTTGGGCCTGCTTTCACAAGCAAATGCAAATAGAAAGGCTATGATACTATGGATCCAATCACTCCGACCATCCAGCTGCGGAAAGGCACAGTGGGGTCTGCTGCTGCGCATTCCTATCGTTCCTCAAGCTCTTTTCAACCTGCTTCCACGTGATTACCTGGCTTCCTCAGCAAGCTCCATGTTCTATCAATTTTCCTTGTCCTCCTTCTCTTCGTCGTCCCTCTCTTTCTCCTTCTTCTCTTTGTTCCCTTCCCTTTGCCGTCCTCCTCCTCCTCCTCGTCCTCTTTGTGCTTCCTTTTCTGCATCCGTTTCTTTCTGCTGCTGCGCTTCACAACTCCTGCTCCTTCTTGCTCCTGCCTTCTGCCCCTTCTTCTTCCATTCAGCTTCCTCGTCCTTGCATTTCTCCTCCGCCAACCTTTCCTTCTTCCACTCTGCCGTTCTGCTTTCTCTTATGTTTCCACAGCTGCTGCTGTTTTTGTATGATGTGGAATTTGGTTGCTGTGTTGTCCAACTGCTCAGAATGATGAGGTTCAACAATTTAGAGCTTGATGCGTCTGTTGCAGTGCAAGTGTCCAACTTGCACGTCATCATGAATGTGCGACCTCCCTACCATTAATCCTTCACATGCCTTCACCTTCTGCACCCTGCAAGCATTGCGCCAGGTACCCATTTGGGACAATACCATCGAGTGTCTCAAGGCGAGCTGCCCCAGCAGGCACATTTGCCCATCATCCAACTCTCGCTTTTATGCGACGCGAGGCGGCCCTCAGGTGGCGGCCCAAAACAACACCGCACCTCCGACCGCAACGCGGTGCCCTCGGGCCACTGGGTATACAGCACATCGATGGATCCAGAAACATCGTTGTCTCCACTGCCGCTAAATCGGGCCTACAGGCTCTACAGGGCCGGCAGGTCCTTGGTTTTTGATGGTTTTTATGCCACCGAAGTTGGAAGGTGAAGAGCCGATTCCTTCACGATGGCGGGTTGTGGAGTTGTGGAGCTCCAAAGCATTGCACGCGAGCACCGCACGAGAAGGGCACCGTCTGTGTCGAAACTCTACTCTACGACATGTGCCTGGACCATGTTGGACACCATCAAAAAGCAACAGAATGCAAACGAAAACCCCAATAGGGGGAAAGCATTCTTGTGCGCAGCGTGCAGCCTGCAAATTTCGAGTCACGGTCCGTCACAGTGTACAAGCATGTATTGTATCACATGCCGCATTCCAGTGGGTGATGATGGCTCACAGTTGGTTCACAGAAAAGTCCAGTTTTGTCAAGTGTTTGTTGGCATGTGATTGACTTCATACATGTCGCTTTTTGTGCACAACCAGCATCTAGATCTCTCTCTCTCTCTCTCTCTCTGCCTCTCTTTCTCTCTTCGGGCATAGCTCGGCGTTCGGGTTCATGAACGTTAACGGGTTCAGAATGGCTGTTTCAGAAACCATCTATAGAGAGCCCTTTAGCATCCGGCGGTTCTTGGCCCCCGAGTGAAGCCTGCAGTTCTGGCCCCCCCCTCCGGACCGCCGGCTGCAGCCCAAGCGTCACATCACTTGGATCGGTCTTCACCTCGACCCAGCTCCGTGGGAAGCCGCAAACGACGAGATAAACCCGGAGCTCCGCAATAGTACTGAAGATAGAAGATATGGCACAATCCCCCAAGAAAGGTCGCCATCTAAAAGACGTCTTGCTTTTTGGATGGATCTACTCTGACACCACTTCTAGGTCCTAGGTGTCTTAGGATGTCTCGAGAGCGGAGGAAAGAGGGCGGAGGAGTTCAGCAGTCATGTCGGTTCTATCGTTTGCAGCGTCTCATCGCCCGGAATCAAGAACAAGGACGCACCAGGATCCCCCAACCAGAGCCACACCTCGCCGACGAACACACAACCTGGTGCCTTCGGCCGCCGCCTGACCGGCCCTTTCTTCGGCTCTACGGCCGCGGTCGCTGCATCGACGGCCGCCCCTGAGAGGCCCGGCTGTGAGCTTGTCGTTGGCTGGGCCTGAGGGCTGCATGTTCCCAAAGCAAACACATCGAATTCTGGGCCCAAATCATATCGTGAATTTCTGGGAGTTCGTTCCAACAGGAACAAATCATTGGATACCATGGGAAACTAATTGGGCAAGCTTTCCTATACACAAATTTGCAAGCTCCAAATTGAGTTGCACTTCACGGGAGTAATTTCATACCACCCAAATAAGCAACGATCTTCTGAAATGGATTAATAGCATGATTAAGCAAGGCTACAAAAAGAAAACCCCATGAAGCTTTCAGATGTGGACCCAGTTAAGCAAGCCCGCAAACCCACATCCAAAATGGCTGCCTATCTCACAAGAAAACCAATACCAATGTCGTCTAGAGGACCTTCATCTTCCAGTTGGGTGCGCATTTTCTCCTTCCATCTCCTTCCATGTTGGCTTTCAGGGGCGCATACCACGCTCCTTCCCGTGCCGCGTTCCCCGGGCCTGCGCCACGCACGGCCACCGCCTGTACATTGGCCTTCGAGGGCGCGATCGCCTGGAGGAGAAGGCTGGCAACACGCGACCATCGGATCGTGGTATCGACGCTCGAGGCTGGAGGTGACTGCTCCACAAGTTCTGGTGACTTATACGGGTGCCGAACGAATGGAAGATATAGGGGGTGGCCTAAGGGGACCCCCTCTCACAGCCCCCCCTGGAATAATAAAAATATTATCCTGACCACCATCCAGATAGATGCTGAATATTATCCCAGTATGTCATTCACATTGAGGAATAATTTTCAGACTGCTGTACCTGACACATCCATCAAGGCTTATTCTGAATTCCAGGGTGGTACCTTAAGCCACTACCTAGCTTAAATATTATTCCATCGAAATTATTCCAAAAAAAATATTCCAGGAGGTCAGATGACCCCTGGAATAATTTTTTAAGACACCCCCCCATTGGAAGATACATACAGTCGTGCGGACCTAAGGACCTAAGGACCAATCCTAAGCCATTCTTAGTTAAAGGCAGCAATGCAGCTGCTGGCCATGCTGCACAAAACATGCAGCCCCCTCCCAGTGGACCATCCAGGTGTCTTCAGCGCCTTCGCCATGCACTCATCTGCCCACCTGCGACAAAACACTGAGCGAGCTCGCGAGATGACCCCGTGTGCCGGTCCAGTGGGATGAGAAAGCTGCCGGTCGGTCCAGTGAGCTATGGAAGTGGATGGCATGGCCTGTGGCAAGACCATGAAGTCCGAATACCAAACGGTTGTCCACTTCCATGCTTGTTGGAGGGTTAAAAAACCCAAAATGAAGGGGATCCTGATGTACAAAGACCAACTGAAGACAAGGATTTACCGGCCATGGGCGTTGATGGCTACAGTCTGATCCAAACAATGCCTGACAGAAGGCAACATTGGCACAGGCCAATGCAGGCATCAATCAGCAAACTCCACCCTCCGTTTAGCAGCAAGAAGCATCATACAAAAACGAGACACGAATAGAACCGCTGCTCCAGAATTCAGCAAGACAATGCGTCATCAGAATAGGTATTCATTCCCAAGCAAGAGCTTGAGCTGGAGTTCTGACTCTGGGCTACCCAGCGCGTTGCTCGCAGCCAGCGAGCATTTGTTGACCTCATCCTGGGTCATCCCACTCTCTATGGCCAACATGGTCCTTACTGACGCCTCAGGCGCGAACGAGCGACCGGAAGGTAACCCAAAACCAGCGGGAAGAAGGCGACCGGATGGGATTTGGGAGGTGAAATGCGGCCGATTCGATGGGGACCTTGGGTCGACTGGGGGCCTCGTGGCTTCACTTCCAAGCTTAGAAGCAAACGAAGCAGAACATTAAGACCTGTTGGCTTTATGGTGCATTGATAGTTGAGGCAGTGAAGCTCGTCTTGAACTGCCAAAACAACACCAAAGATCTCAATGCAGCCAAGGCTCGTCTTCCCAGCCAGCACCCCATGAAAATTGAGCCCAACTGCAGCATAAACCCTTTGATGTGTGGTGGAAATCGGGTGAACAATCTCCAGGACTCCATCGCTAGAAAACCACCCTGGTGCCTCCAAACCTGCCAACTGTTCGACCAAAAAAGGCGTGCGACGATGGATGTGATCACATCCTGTGTCTATGAACTGTGTCTTATCATTGCCAATCACTCAACAAGACAGATCCGAGTACATGGACTCCGAGCTCCCCTCCGAGCTCGCTCCCTACCACGTAGACGTCTCTACGTCTTCGGTTGGCCCAACGTTGGGCCGAACAAACGAAGCAAATCAGGTGGAAGGGAAGAGCGCATGGCAACGTCAAAGGACCGAGCCCACACACATCCAAATTCAGATAGGATCCGTTTCTTTTCTTTTGGGACACGGCGCGGAACCCGTTTGATGACGCTCATTGACGCTCCTGATCTCCCCTGATCTCCCCTCATTCTTCGTGAGACCCACCGAACTGAAACTCCCTCCAGTGATTCCACACCAACCAGCGACCCGACCGAAAGGCACGGTGGCGGGGCCCCGAGCCCAAGCGCCGAGCCTTCGGCACGGCAGCCATCGGGCTCTTGCGCAACACCTGCGGGCGCGGGCGGCGACGAAGCGATTAATCCGGTGCCCGGCGGGAGGGTTCGGGACGCGTTTTGGAGGGGCGGAGCCGCCACGGCTCTGCCACAGTTCGAGGATGTTTGAGCGGTTTGTGGAGTGCGGATGTTTGTGGAGAAATGCTCACTTCCTACGACACTCTTTTTTTGTCCAGATCTGAGTCTGACATCTTTACACCCAGAAATCAATGGTCCATCCCATCATCCATCCCCTTGAACAATTGGTCTGAGGAAATTATGCCCTCCATTATAAGGAATGTGCTATTGAATTTATTGCTGCCGAACACATCTACAGTACCTGTATGCAACTGTCACTGCCTTCGATATACCGGACGTATTATGCATTGACTGAAGTTTGCTTTGCAAACACATCTACCGATTTCTTCCTTCCAACGGCTCGCCCCGAGCCGCGCAAGGACGCACCGCCTCTGCCCTTGGTGGCTCAACAAGTCCACCCGCCAGCTGTCGTTGGTGACTGGGCGGGGTAAACCAGGTAGCTCCAGTCGATGGAGGGGATGTAGCTGCAGTCTGTGGTCTTGCTTATGAGCTCTGAATTTGTTCAATATTATCCCATGCATAGACACTGGAATCACTTGCCGGGCAACAAGTGGCGAAGGATAAATTCTCTATAAAATGACTGGCGGTTTCTATAAAAACTTATAAAAATGCACAGTCACATCCAGCAGTAGTAAAATATGGTTTGAAAAATGCAGAAGAACATGATAAAGCCACGAGCCTGATGATTACAAGTTTTAGCAGTTCAGGATCACTTGCCTTCCATTATATTAGTCGGGCATAGTCGGGCAATGGCGGGGCAAGTCCGTGCCAAAAACTTTGCTTGTTGGCTTAGCTCCCTTAACTATTTACCCATCTTTACCCCCATCGGAAAGCAAGTCTATAGAGTCTAGAGAAAGGCTCCACCGACTCGGCGCAGTTGATGATCTCAGCTCTGCGCTTGGCAATCAGGATGCTGCGGTCTTGGCATCACACCGCAGTTAAACTGTGCAAAAGACGGCACTTCCGCAACACGTTCGCCAGCAGAAACCCACGTTGACGACCGTAAAACCACCGACTGCGACATGTCTTCTCATGCCGCTGAGAGGTGTGGAATGCAGTTGGTCCCGTCTTCTTCCCCTCACCACTTGGATGCATTGAGGCGGACGCATTCGGTCAATGCGCTCTTCAAATCAAACCTCTCCTTAGCACCCGGATGGAAGTTCTTCACTGCCACCAAGCCAAATCTGGGGTCCAAGTGATTTTCTCTCAACAGGGAGAGGTTTTCTCAACATTTTGAACAACTTGTCAGCTACATCATGGCATGATTCCTAAATGTCGCGCAATGTTTATCCCTTGGATGGCTATGAGGGGATACTCATCCTGCAATTGGCCGCCCACTTTGGCACCTGCCCCAATGGTGAATCCCGACACACAGTCAATCCCAAAGAATAGGATAAACAGGGAGAATCAACCCAATTCAATACGTCCAACAAATCAATCATTTCCTGATATTTCCTGGTTTAAGCCCCCTTTGGTTTCACATGCTCATTCTTGAATCCAATCACAATGGCTAAGCAGCTATTCCTATCATTTCCAAACCCCAACTCCAACCACCATTTATACCAGCTATGGGCCGTGGTCACCTTCCTTTGTGCAAACCTCGACACTTCTGAGCTCCACTCCAGTTGGGCTCGAGCCAGGTGCCGATGGTCAGAGATGGGTGTAGGCCTTGGGTGGCCATGGGCGCAACCACGACCGTGGTGGACAACTTGGAGTAGGCTGGAAGCGTACAAAGACCGGAGCGTCGACAGCAAAATGCATAGCGAAACGATGAGGCATTTGTGGTCCAAACGATGACGAGGGATTGACGATGACAAGCAGGTACTGTAATACATTGTAATACAGTATATAGGTAACGCAGCGATTTGAGCTGAGACATGTGGTGAATTAAAGAAAAACACCTCCGCATTTGCCAGGGCCACAGGCCACACTGATGAGCACCGTGTGTCTACGTGTTTCGGAACGAAGGCCGGACCACCGGTTCACCGGACCGGTCAAATACCCCCAAACGACCCACTTCGGGTCAACGGCAGAAGATGCATTGAATGCCCAAAGCTGTAAAGCTACCATTTGGGGGAATAGATTTTGGGTGGCAGCATGTTGCCCGCCTTTTCGAGAGACCCCCGGGCTGCAACAATGCCTCTCCAGGATCAGGATCTAAGGCCGGCACATGTTGCGAGCAGTACCTCCACACAGCACCAGGCCCCTGCTATCTTTTGCTTGTTCTTTGCCCAAGTGATTTCTGAAGAGCTGGTCTTGACAGAAACACAATCCACCCTGATGTCCACCCTTGGGAATGTTATACTATATTGTATAATATAACTATACCAAAACGTCATCAAAGTTCACCCAACATCTGTGTATACGGAAGTAAATCGCGAGAGACTTGATTTGGTAGCAAAACCGTGCGAAACGTACACCCCAGTCACCCACATCTCCTAGGATCAAGGCACAACTCATACCGCAACGAGCCCCTGACTACTGCTGTGGGCTTTCAGGTTGGCCATGGCCTCAGCGAGAAGGCTCACCATTGGCATGGAGCAGCTATTCCATACATGGACGGTCTGGGTAAGTACATGGCCATGAATTCAATCCGCCCTTGTTGGCCTCCCCAAACCGAAGAACATGGACAGCCAGCTACAACTTTCTATCCATGAGCGCGACTTTTGCAGCGTTGTGCCCTACACGCACCACCTCTCCCCGCCTCAGTACCGCCTTGGGCGGCCAGGTGCCAAGCTCGCTTCGAATTGAAGAAAAGGAAGTGATCTCGGGTGATGTGATGGTGTGACGTGTATTCATCCATGATGTGGTGACTGATCGTGATTTTAATCCATGAGATGGGGACCGCATCAGCCTGTTCTTGTCTTGATCAAAGGCTGGGCTAACTTCATTCCGTGGGATTATTGAATCATACGATTAATCAATAAGAGACTGCCGAATGAATACACAACGTATGCCTGGTGGTGAGTCGATTTAATCTTGACAGTCCCTCTATGTTATGTAGCACCTCCTGTCCTGTCCAACCACTGAAAAATAACCGCTTAGGCCACGTCATATCGAGTTTGGGTGTCTTAAAGTATGGTAGGAGTGAAGTGCGGATTGACACGTCCCATGCATCTCTGACAAAGTGACTGAAAGCCGCTAGAAAAGCTCGGGCCAAATCTCCTGCATAGTGAATCATCCCTTGGTAATCTGCCAAACTCGTAACACTGGATGGTGATGGCTTGCAAGAACCAAATTCCCAAACATCATAATGCTGTTGGTGATGGTTCAAGTCAAAAGACCTCACAAAAATAGCAGCGTTTCACTGGGTGGCCCCCGTCAAAGTAAACTGCCAGTGCTTTGAAGAAATATCGCTTGACCACACCCAACCTTTAAAATACAGTACCTTGATGTAGCAACCCTTCCAGTTCACTCGGGAAAACACAAAAAATAAACAACCTAGGGTCGGCGGTCACCACGGGTACATAGATCACCCTTCAATATAAGAAGAAACATGTTGAAATTGGAGACAATGAGACAAGAACTATTTCTCCTATCACGGTTTCAGGCGTGTGACCCACACCAAATGACCCCTCGCAAGGGTACCCCAGCGTAGACTTGTGCATGCCATGACGCGACCTCAAAACAGTAGTTGCTGAAGCCCTGAGGAGAAGAATGTCAAGGGACCCCGAAAGGGGTGCATGACGGTTGTTCTTAGAGCATTCTAGAATCTAAACATCAAACAATTCCAGCCTAAAGTCTGCATGTCCAAACACGCCGGAATCCCAAGGAAAGAACCCTGGCCAACTCCCCATGTCTTTGGGCTCCCGTGGCACCCACGCCAGCGACCTCTTTATTTTCGAATCATCAAGGTCTGCAGGCCCAACGAACGGCCCATTAGGTCCATTGAAAGTGACCCCCGCCGTGCAACGGCATTCAATCAAAAAGTTGGGAAGATGCATGCGAGTGGCGCCACTCGCCTTGCGGAAGATTCTCGAAGCCCGCCAAACCAGATCTCCAGACCAGACTGGCTACAACCCCATGGTAGCCCCATCAGAAAGTGCCATTAAGGTCTCCTGATCTTCTACCTTTGGGGCTTCTCTGGTGAGTCCGAGACCCAAACATCCGGTGGCTGAACCGTGCCGCTGGGACGGCCGAAGCCGCTCGTGGCGTTGAGCGGAGAAGCCGGCGGCATCAGGGTGGAAGTCCGCCCATGAGAGCCAAATCTGCCAGGCTCCGATTGGAGGACCTCAGGTGGCTGGGTCTGAAAAGGACGGCAAGGCTGGGCAAGGCAACTGGATCGACCAAAAAGCGTGGACGACCTGCAGTCGGTTCATGAATTGATTGA